AATCCAAATGGAGCCCTAGACTACGGGGAAAAGGGAGGGGGGAGGGGATGAGGGAGGATGGGTGAAGAGAATGATATTGTGGGGATCACGCCTATAATTTATCCTATTAGGGTACATGTGAATTTGTCTAAAGGTTGAATATAAATGTCTTAACACAACAATTATGAGAAAGACATGATGGCTATGTTAGCCAGTTGGATGAGAGTTTTCCAAACTGCGTAAGCAACACACTGTATCCTATGATAGAATTAATGTACACAATTATGATCTAATAAAAAATAAATTTAACAAACAAACGAAAAAAAAAAAAAAACCCCAAAACAACTGAGTTACTGGCCATGAAAAGGGAGGTCAGAGAGGCCTCGGTCATGCCCGGCTCCCTCCTGGGACATGTGCTTTGTAACTCATGAACAAGCCTAAAGCTGTGCAAGACAGACCTGCAGGTCCTCAGTTTACATAACAAATTGCTTGAGTCTGGGTATATGGCTGGTGGCTTAAGTCTGAGTAACAGACCTCCTTAAAACTTCCAAAGCTTTCGACAAAGCTTCATTTCTTTAACCAATTACAAATCAAAGAGTCTTTAAACCTACCTAAAATCTGTAAGCCTCCCAACCCCCCTGAGATGTCTCACCTTTTGGGGCCCCATCAGTGTACACTTTCCATGTATTGGTTTATGACTTGATGTATAATTCTTGTCTCCCTCAAATGTATAAAACCAACCATAACCCCACCACCTGAGTACCTGCTCAAGGCTTCTTGGGTGTGATTATGAGCCATGGTCCCCAAATTTGGCTCAGAAGAAACCTCTTTAAATTATTTTAGAGAGTTTGGCTTCCTTTTTGTTGACTAGTTCTTGACACATATTTTCAAGTTATCCTCTATAAGCCTTGCAGTTGTTCATGCCTTACTCTCTACAGCAGCAGATATTAGCTTCTGTTAGTTTTTCACCAATGAATTTGGTTTTCATTTACTTTTCCTGTGGAGGAGAATATGGCATTGTTTTATTGGCATGTTCAAACAGTCAAACAACTGACAGAATAACTCTATTGTTTCACAGAGTCCAGATACCACCTGTCTCTGCAGGACATAGTGTGGGATCCACAGAAAGTCCGGTCTGATCTCCAATCCCAGTTTGGTTTTGATGATCTTCATACAGGACAAATCCTGAATTATTCAGCTGAACTGAAGGAGGTATGGGTGTGCACCCTTGAGTGCCCCGCAGGGTCTGTCCCAAGAATGACTTGAGAATGTATTACTGGGGCAGGGTGGGTGGTAGTGATGGGGGATTGAGGGTAGCCAGGCAAGAGAGTCCTACCAAATCGGAGCTTCATAGACAGAGTAGGCCCCTGCTATCTCCAGTTTTTTCCTCTTACCTTGTCATTTTGTTCGAGCATTCAAAAGCTATTTGGAAGGAACATGACATCTGATTGCTGTAGGAGCTAGCGGTGGGACTAGCCAGTCCAGTTGAAGGTATGCAGTGTGGATAGGATGGTGGTGTCCAGGAGGGTGTGCGGGCACAAGTGGTGAATTTTCAGGTTAGCATTAGAACAGTAGAAGGTGTGCACTGTGGGCTCCCCGAAGTTGAGCCTCTTCCCAAATTAGGTGAAATAAGGGGATTGGACATGGTGACCCCACAAGCCTGAATTCACCTCTGATACAGCTGAGGTTCTGGAAGGGATCTTTTATTACAGAGTTTCCTTCTGAGGATCCAGCCCATGTGTAGGAGGTTCCACTTTGCAAGGTGTAGGTGTGAGATCTATACACCTAGAACTTGGTCAACCTGCTGCCCCCTCTAGACCCCACCCCCTTGGTTAGAGTTTTTGGTGCATTTCCTAGGTCAGGGTTGAGCTGTGAAGATTTGGAGAAGACACAGTGTCTTTTGTTGGGGTCTAGGTCCACAATGGGGGTGTGGATTTTGCTCACTTCTCTGCATGTTCCCACCACCAGCTCGTCCCTGATTGTCTTTTCTGCACTTTTCATTCATTTGTTTATTTATTTTCGTATTAGGGAAAATGGGGAACTGCAGTTCAATATACCTTTATTTACAAAATGTTCATTACAAACTCCCACGAAATATTTATAAAACACCCTGTGTGTTGGCCACCTTTTTATAAGGCCACAAATTTTATAAGAAGTATTTTGCAAATGAAGGTAATTCAGGCTACAATTTCCCACTTTGCCTATGTATGTTGACTTTAGGGGTAACTGTGGAACATGCTGTCTAACTTAGAAGTGCAGTGGCTGTTACTGTATTGTTAACTACAGACACTGGCTGTGTGGTCAAGAACCTTACACAGTACTTCTGTAACTATTCACTTAGCATAACTGAAACTTTACATTGGTGGGACAGCATCTCATATTCCCTGCTCCCCAGTCTCTGTCAACCACCTTTGAATTCTGTTTCTGTGAGCTTGACTATTTCAGATTCCACCTGTGTGTGGAATCATACAGTGCTTGTTCTTAATTTACTTAGCAAAATGCCCTCCAGTTTCATCCACGATCTCACAAATGGTAAAATTCCCTTATTTTTTAAAAAATTGAATAAGGTTCCATTGGATTTGCCTTTTCCACATTTGTGTACAGACTGTTGCTTTCAGCCTTTGGTCTCTGGATCTGTGCTCTGAGCCTGGGTGTCCAGATGGGAGATCGATCTGTGGCTGGATTCACCTGTGGCTCCTGAGCTGGGGTAGAGTTTGCAACACCAGTTCTGCCAGGCAGGGTCAGGACTTGCCACGGTGAAATCAGTTTTGTGCTTTCTTGTCTCCCTGGCATAATTTTATTAAACACCGCACAATCATTTTTTTAATTTTAATTTTTTTTATTGTTTGGAATTCATTGAGGGTACAAAGAGTTAGGTTATACTGATTGCAACTGTTAGATAAAGTCCCTCTTATAATTGTGTCCTGCCCCTAAGAGGTGTGCCATGCACTGTGGCCCTCAATCCCCCTCCTCCCTTCCCATCCCCCTCCCTCATTCCCTTACCCCACCCCTTGTATTAGCTCATCTACCCCTTTTATATTAGAATCAAGTACATTGGATTCTTGCTTCTCACCATCTCACAATTTTATGCTACCTCTTGTAGGACTTGAAATTGTGACTCTCAGCTTTTCCCACAAGAAAGGTTGTAGGTGCCACAGGAAACCCCAGTTGAACAGTTTTTATTACAGTTTTCTCCACACTTACCCCATTTTTTTTATTATACTAGAAAATATTTTGGGTAAAACTATACAAATGAATAAATGAATAGTAAATGTTTTGAGATTAGGATTAAAAGGAAAATGGTCAGGAAACAAGAGTGTTTGTATCCACAAAGCTATGTGGTAATTGTGTACCCTGTGTCTGGGCCTCCTGTTGCTGCTGTGATACCTGTGTCCCAAGACAGTGGCTTAAAACAACCCCAGTTTTTAAATTACAGTTCTGGAGATTAGAAGTCTGGATGGGCTAACATCAAGGTCCCCAGGGCTAGGGTATCCTCCTTCTGGAGGCTCTAGGGCGAATCCTGTTGTAGGGAAAGAAATATTCCTTTCCTTCCATAAATTAAACTGGTGCAAGACAGATAATTAAGAGGAAAAGAGTTTTAATTATGTAAGTATGCATGTGAGTCACAGAGAAAAAAGTAGAGGCGGTTCCCGGCTTATAATGGTTCTACTTACGATGGTTTGACTTAACGGGCTTCAACTCTACAATAGTGCAAAATGTACACACGCAGTGGGAACTATAGTGTGAGGGCCCATGCAGCAATTCTGCTTTTCAAAAAAGTGTTCAAAAAGTTACATGCAGTCATCAACACGTTATTATAAAATAGCCTGGATTCAATGATTTTGTCCTATCGTAGCCTAATGTAAGCATTCTGAGCATGTTTGCAGTCAGCCAGGCTAAGCTACGATGTCTGTATTTTAAGTGTAGTGAACGTACTTTTGACTTATATTTCTGAATTACAATGGGCTTATCAAGACCTAACTGAATTGTAGGTCAAGAAGGCTCAATGTTTCAAGGAGGCAGTCAAGTAATTGAGAAATATGCACCATATTAGGCTACACAAAGAAAATGGGTTTGGGGTTGCAGGGTGTCAAGGCAAATTATAAGAGGGTGAGGGCCAGAGATATACAGTGAGTCAGGGCTGTCTTACCACACTGACCAGAGTCTCTCAGGTGATCAGGGTTATTTGGAGGAACCGCTTCTTGGTCTTTAGGCTGAGATCAAGTACAGTTATTTGGAGGAGTGTCTCTCTTCTTGGTGGAAGACATTTTTAAAAATGAAAATTTCCTTTATAAATGTAAATTTCCTTTACAAAAGGGAAATTTATTCACTATTTTTAGGCAGTTAGAGAAAAGTAAGGAACTTTCTTGTACCTGTTGGTTCTCACTTGGAGCCTTCAGCTGGGAATAATCCATATCTCAAAGAGAAGTATTTTAGGTAGCATGTTCTGGCACTTTTCACTGGTTTCTTGCTTTTCCAGCTCCTAGAGGTGCCTGCATTCTTTGGCTCTCAGCCCCTTCCTCCATGTCCAATGCCAGCCTAGCAGGTGGAGTCCTACTCACATCCCCTGGCTCTGGCTCTGACATTTTTGCCTCCTGCCTCCATTAATAAGGACTTGTGTGTTTACATTGGCCCCAAGGATGATTCAGGATAACCTCCCATCTTACTGTCGGCTGATTGGCAGTCTTACTTCCACCATTGACCTCAAATCTTACCTGCCATGCAACGCAATATATTCATATGTTCTGAGGATCGGGACATGGGCATCTTGGACGGCTCTTTGCCTTGCTTCCCACTTCTTATAAAGTCCTTTACTATTGGTATCAGCCCGTGATCCTCGGCACCCCTGGGTCCTGCCAAAGCCTCAACACCCACTGCCCTTGGACGAAAGTGGTCTTTCTAGCTCCCTTTCTCTGTTCCCCAAATCAGAGAATGATTTATCTAGCCCCAGGTCCTCTGTTGAGCCCCCATGATCTCAGTTCAGCCTCACTTCAGTGACAGAGCAAGTCCCAGGGACCCTGATGGCTCCATCTGCCTCTGAGTGACTGTGAGAGTCCAGGCAGTGACTGGGCCTTCTTGTGCATTAATAATATGACAAAAGGTGTTATTGACTTTTTTTTTATTAAAGGAAGAAAAAATCAGAGCAAAAATATTAGAGATCAGTGGTTTTAATTGTCACAAGTGAATATTTTAAATCTGGGTCCTTAGGGAAGTGACAGAATGAACAAATGGGGCTTGCGAGGCTTTCTGATCACTGCCGTTGTTTTAGTGCATTCAGACCACAGACTGGGTAGCGCCTAACAAGAGAAACTTACTTCTCACGGTTCTGGAGCCTAGAAAGTCCCAGATCAAGTCTCCAGCAGATTTGGTGTCTGGGGAGGCTGCTTTCTGGTTTCAGATGGCACCTTTTGTGTTGTCCTTGCATAGTGGAAGTGGTCAGGAAGCTCTCATGGGCCTCTTTAGAAGAGCACTAATCCTATTCCTAAGGGCTCCGCCCTCATGACCTTATCACCTTCCCAAGGCCCCACCTTCTCATCCTGTCTCCTTGGAAGTAAGGATTTTCAACACCCGTGTCTTGGAGGTGTAGATACAAGTACTCAGATCACAGCATCCTTCAATAGAATCTCTGAAAGATGACACAATAGTTATTTTAAAACTATGTAACAGGGGAATATTCTAATACACACATCAATATTTATAGAACAATATTAGAGAAATTTCATTTAAGCTCATATTCAAAACAAAGGACATTTGGTTCACAAACATTAAATAGTTTTTGACCCAGGACCTCAATTTGAATCTTTCTAATTTTATCCACTTTTGTTAAAAAAATTGTTCTAGGCAAAACGATTTTGTTAGTCTAAAGTATCAATTACACTGGGCTGGCCCATGTTGACCTTTGACCTGGGAAGGAATATGAACAGTAGTTGATAACATCTCCATGTCTTTGGCCTGGAGGAATAGCTGTACCCATTGCTTGTGGACAATTCTGAAAAGTAGAATCAATTTTCTTCACTACAAAAGAATCCCCTCAAAATAAATTGCATAGACATTACAAACAACACTTTATCACCTGTTACCTCTTCAATCAAGCAAATGTAAGAGCTGAGGCAAGATTGTGGTATTATTTTTAGTAGAGAAATGTTCTAGGAGAAAAGACTTTACTTATAAACATTTTTTCATACTGTTGCCAGATTCCCACAGGCAGTGCATTAGACAGGATGGTGTGTACCGTCTTGTCTAGGACATCAGAAGACGAAACTCAAAGAGTGGGCCACCATGGAGACTGTCACCCCAAGTGGTCAGAAGCCAAAAACTATCTCGTCCGTGCGGTCAGCTGGCTGCAAGTCTACAAACAGGTGCTGTCCCATATCCCGATGCTCTGTCTGAAGGCCTGGTGGCTTGAAGCATGTCCAGATCCTTTCCTGTCCCCCCATATCACTCACTGCCTGATTTTATGTCCTTCCCAGGAAAAGGCCTGGGATGCCCATGTCCTGGCCCTCATGTGCTTGTTTTCCATGTCCATCCTCTGGCTCTCACTCTTTAGGCCCCTCAACACAAGTGCCACCAAGCACTTCATCCTAGGCTTAATCACTCACCTGGCAGCTAAGAAGCACGTACGCCGGGGGTTGTGGGTGTGTGATGCTCCCCCAGGCTGCTCTGACTGGCCCTGGAGGTTTGTGAACAAGTGTCCAGCGTTGCTGCAGCTCTCTGAGCTCTGATTTCCTTGTCCCCTTACTCTGGTTATGACCAGAAGCACTGTGCCAGAACAACAACTGCGACTGAAAAGTACAGATGGGAGGGAAGGCCGTGGTCTGTTTTCCCAGAGGTGTTGGTGTAGGACAGAGTGTCTGAGAGACTGGACTCCTCCTGCCCTTGGAAACCAATGGGAGCCTTGTTGGTTCACAGCTTTGTGCTGCTTGGGGAGTTTTTTTTTTTTTTTTTCTTAAATAATAGATTCTTATTTCTCACAGTTCTAGAGCTTGGGAAGTCCAAGAGCAAGTTGCCAACAGATCTTATGCCTGATGGAGCACTCTTATCATGTCTTCATACACTCAAGAGAATAGAGAGGAGAACATGGTATTTGAAGAAACCAATAGGCTGTGTAGCTCAGCTAGAGAGCAAGGGACAGGTGCACGTGAATGCACCAAGGGGAGCTGTGGTCAGAAAAGTGGATGAAGGAATATCACAGAGTCTTTAGATGCCACACTGAGGGTTTCTGTAGACAGTTGGGAGCTACTGAACTATTTTACTCAGAGTAATGACGTGATCAGAATTGCACGTGAAAATGACGATTTTGCCAGCATTATGGAATATGATTTGGAGAAGGATGAGACAACAAACAGGGCCATCCGTGTGGTGATTGCTGCCTATTCAAGTGTGGGGTTTGGGAGGTTGTGGAGGCTGTGACGCAGTCTCTGTGGAGGTTGCTTCTTATTTGCTTTATCAGACCATAATGTCTATCTCATGTTCTTCCTCAGAAACATGACTCTTTAACTTTTTCCCTCCCAATGCATGTCTGATAAAGGTGAAAACTGCAAGCAGTTCATAAACCATCATTAAAAATGTATACGTATGACCAAGTGTAGTGGCCCACATCTGTTATATTAACACTCTCGGAAGCTGAGTCAGATGGATTGTTTGAGCTCAGGAGTTCAAGACCCTGTCTCTATAAAAATATAAAAATTGAGTCAAGACAATTGCTTGAACCCAAGAGCTTGAGGTTGCTATGAGCTATGATGTTAGGGCACTCTACTTAGGGTACCAGAGTGAGACTCTGTCTCAAAAAAAAAATGTATAGGTGTGATCAGGCACTTGCTGGCACTAAACTCATCAGCACTGAAATGATCAGGATACAGCACTGAAATGCCCAGATTCAAAATGCCCTGGTGCACACCTTTGCTTTGTGCAGTATCCAGGCCATGAAAAGTCACAGTTAGTTAAGGAGTGGGTAGCTTATGTAAATTTGCAACTTGCATTTTCCAGCACTATCTGGTGTGGGCATGAATGGTTGATTTTGGTGTAATGTTGGTGATAAACCATGACACTAATTGCCCTTAGTATCAGCAACCCAATCTATGTCATATATCATAGTAATTATGGTATCTATTTTGAGGTAAATGAATATATTTATATTATCCTAAGTATGTCAGTTGAGTTTTAAAATTATGTTTTGTTTGTTTAGAAATTTATATCTGTCTTCTCTCTCATTCTTTCTTTTTAAGGGAGGAAAAGGGAGAAGCCGTATGCCAATTAAAAAGTTGTATGCATCCATTGTTGCCACTTGTCACCTTTAAATTCTGACTACAAGTTAAAACTGTAATGCAACTGTTGACAGATATTTCACTTTGCCGACAACATAAAAATGGGCTCTCTGTCATCTAGAATAGTCTGTTAATATTTCTTTACTAAATACTGTTGTTTCTAACTTGCTATTATTCACAGTACTTTTTTGTCTCTAATTTGTAGGTGTTTCATCAGTGGCGACAGGGTAGCCTGTTTCAGAAGATACTCACAGGCCTGGTCCACAGCCTGGAGGTGCTCAGTGCTCAGCTTAAACAAGAGAGTGAGCCGTGGACGGTGGCAGAAGCTTTGCACACTGTGCTGCTCCTCCTGAAGGATAGCTTGGCAGCAGATGGCCTGAACGACAATGTTACATTTCCAAAAATGTAAGGCCTGTTTCCCTGTTTAGTCTTCAGTTAGGTAGATAACACTGAATTTTAAATAGTGCGTGATGAGACTGTGAGAAACAAATTATGTAAAACTACAGCTAGACAATGAAGTGAGAAACCTGAGTCTTATCATGACCCAGACAGAACGCTCTGGCCAGTGCAGACACCCATTCAGATGCTGCAAACTGCCTCACGGGGCGGGGGGGGGGGGCAGCATGTGAGCAGGTGGGAGCCGCCTGGATTTCATATTTTGTGTCTTTCACACTTGTTTAAAAATGAACAAATACATTTTAAAGGTATTTTTAGGTAAGAAACTATCTGTTTTCATCTGTTTTCATACTTAAAGACTCTGTGTACTTGAAATGCTTACAGAAGGTCTAGAAATATTTTAGAAGTAGGGAAAGGTGAAATTCATGGTTTCTTCCTTTTTAAGGTAACTAGAACTTATTCTCCAAAATGATCAAGATTGGATCTCTTTCCTCAGTGGATGTAGCAGTTTGTAATAACTTGAATCTTTGAAGAAAATAATATGATTTCTCAATATTATCTCAAAAAGTTTCATTTTAAAACAGTCATATAAACCATTGTTCTTTGCGTACCAGGAAGAGAGACTTGGGAAGAACTGTAGGGGCCAGACTGAGTTTTTATGATTACATAACAGATAGCAACTCTCAATATTCCCAACTCTTTCACATTTTTTAGAATACAGTTAGCAAATGGGATCTTGCTTTAGAAGGTCCGAGCCCTTGACTTTTGCATGAGATACCTGGAGCGTGGGTTGCTGGTGCCAAGGCTGCAGAAGTGACAGAGGAGGATATGGGGAACCAGCAGGGACACCCTCTAAACAGTGATGGAGGACCAGGGCAGGGACAAAGGACTGTCTCATAAATGAACTCCAATGTGGGGCATTGTGTTGGGGGCAGTGAAAACCTTCCTGGATGGTCTGCTATTTAATGCACGTCAACAGTTACACCACGGGAAGACACCTTAATTATCCTACAAACCTCAAACACCCCCTGGGACTTTTGCCCAGGGTTTTGTCTGCTCTCTTCCAGACCAGGGGAATGAAGCCCCGGGACGTTCTACCTTTTAGCTAGCACAGGGAGTTGGGGAAGCCAAACACTGAACCACACTCTAAGAACTGTGGTGGCCCGAGTCTCCCTGCCCTCACATGTAATTTCTACACGCCATTGGGGTGAGGCAGATGAGGGCCCAGACACTGGCTCTGGTACCCACCTGCTATGCACTGGGCAAGCAATTGGCCTCTGGAGCCTCCATTTCTATTTGCTCATCACTTTGTTAAACGTGATACAAAACTGCCACCTCATGGCTGCCCTGGTGACAAGCTGCCCTGTTACCTGTGTGGCTCTGTCCCTACTATTGGTCCCCTTGGCCTTGGCCTCTCAGTTTGGTAATGGCCCTTTCTAGTCTGGTGTGCTAGAGACCAGGCACAGGACTCCCAGTGGCCCTGGGACCTCATCTGGAAGAAGGAATCGTCTGTCCAGCTCCTTAGATGACTACCAGGTGGGAGGGAAACCCCCAGGTGGGAGGGAAACCCTCAGGTGGGAGGGAAACCCTCAGGTGGGGGGGAAACCCCCAGGTGGGAGGGAAACCCCCATGCTGAGGATGCCTCACACCAAGTGGATGATCTCAGACACCAGCCCTTCTCATACCACCTGCCACCAACTCTGCTTCTCTCTCCTTCTAAACTCACTCTTTGTCCCTCTCTCCTCCTTTTCACAGATTCACTGACTTTCCTACATGATAGCAAATGTCCCTTTATGCGTATCTCCCAGACTTTGCGATCCCTCTTGTTAATGCTACTATTTGCAGAGTAATTTTTTCTTTCTGTTTGGTGTGGAGTCACGAGTCCCCCCGTGTGTGTGTTGGGGGTTAAAATTTCCATTGTCTTCCACTCTGTGCTGTCAGGTTCTTCATCAACCGGACCTACAGCTGGCAACTCTCTGCTTTGTCTTTAGAGTATTGCTGAGTTCTTTCTTCTCCACCTTATTATCTTTAGTTGTTTTTTTTTTTTTTTTTTTTTTTTAAGAAATTTCATTATCTCCAATGCTGGGGGTAACAAGTAACAAGATTAATTAGAGGAGATGGCAGAGGGAAGCTTCAGATATTGAGGAATTTCTGGGCAGGCTTAAAACTTTTAAAGGTTGACAGTTGGCAGCATAAATGTTCCTAAAGTCTTTTTAGGTAGCAGGCCTTCCTTTTACTTGACAGTTTTACTAACAGTTCTTACAATCTGAAGTTCAACTAAAGTCTTTCACTGGTCAAGTTAAATGAAAAAGAGAGCAAGCAAAAAAAATTGTCTAGCATACAATGGTGTTACGATGAGTTTTTCTTTGTACTTTGACATATATTTTAATGTGTAGATTGAAAACTTTAACAATGCCTTAATTTTTGACTTTCAAAAAGGCATGACAATGGATTTTCTCAAATTACAGATCACGATATCTTTACAAACAATTACATCCAAGTACTAAATTTCAGGAGCTCTTGGAAACACATTTTAAGATATTTCACATACATAATATATGTTTATTATTTACTCATCGAAGCATACTCGATCTGACATTAAAAATTTTGCCTCTGTTAACTAGGGCTTGAGAGATTACAAAGTAGAATTTTCACAGTTTTCTTAAAAGTCTTTCAGTCCAAGAAACTCAGATCTTGTGTCCTATTTGGATCTATGTTTTTCCTATTAATTAACATCCGTGGGCTCTTGTATTGGTAGTTTGGTCATGACTTACTCTTGCAAAATCACCTTTACAGGGAAACAAACACAAAAGATGTTTTCCCCAATGCAAGGGAAATACTCTGAATCAGTAACGAAGTCAAAGCCGCAGGTGTTTCAGGACTTTCTTGAGAACAGACTTCAACGGTGTTGATATTCTTTTTCTCTTCCTTTTTCAAAACTATACAGTTATTGTCCTATTATCTACTATTCCAAAAAACAAAAACTCTTTTTCTGAAGATCAAGTTTTTCATTGGCACAGGACTATATGGAATGAATTCAGAAGATAGTGGCAAGCTGGGTCTCTCCTCGAGGAGTTTCCTCCTCTCTCAGTAGCATTTAACTACTCTCTATCAATTAACTTCATCACGGCTGAGTTCTTGGGTCAGACAATTGATAACCATAAGCAAAAAAAGCTCTTCAGTAGAAGCCAACTGGTCTAACGGGGTCTTCTCATAATGCACCTGAAACCCGCCACTCAGGGCCGCTTCTCTGGCTCTGGGTGGTCTCAGGAACATCTTGTTGCTTCTTCAAGGGCCACTGAGACTCTGGAGCTGACATCCCTCTGCTGCTCCTCTCTGGATAGTCGCAGTTGTCCTCCCAGTCATCAGGTTCCTTGGCCTTGTCCTCACTCTCCAAGTCTGGGCCTGCGAGTTGGCCTGGCTGCTCCCCAGGGCTGGCCCCTTAGCCAGGCCTGGCTTCCCCGCTGGTGCTGCCTTTGGCTGTGCTGCCTTCTCCTCTCCCATAGGGCCTTCCTCCAGCTGCAGGGGGCCTCAACGTGGGAGGGACGCAAGGAGGGTCTTGGCTCTGCTGCCTACCTCCATCTGCGGAAGGTCACCCTCGCCTAGCATCACATCCCTCTGTAGGCCGTTGCTGTCTTCATACAGTTCCCACAGCTCAGCCATTTCCGACGTTGTGCAAAACAAACTGCTCAACCTTTCAGAAAGCGCTTTCAGCAAGGCATGGAGCCACCCTTTTCTTGTTTTTGTTGTACCTATTGTACATATCTCTATTATCTTCTTTTCAAAATTTTGTTCTTGTTTCTGTTATTCAGTTTAAACAGTTCAGTTAGATCAGGCAGTTGCCTGCCCTCAGCTCACTCAAAGTTTTCTAAGACTCACACTGCCCTTAGCTGAACCTCTGTGTTTTGGGTCATGGCTTTGTCGTAAGCAGGGGTCTAGGAACCCACATCCTTGCTTTTCTCTTTCTCCATAGCGAGTTGTTCATGTCTCTGCCTCTTCCTAAGTCATGGCTTTCAAACAAAAAGAATGGACATACCCCCAGACCCTCGGTTTCCAGCTGGCCACTGTGTATCATTACAGACCGTCTTTCCTTGTCAGGCTGTTGTCTGTTCCTGCCGAAGTCCCTTCAGTTGGGGTGGCTGAGGCTTGGGAGCTCCCGCCCATGCTCTGTGGAGAGCACAGATCCTGCTGAGGGGAGCCCCCCACCCCCCGTGTGTCACTGTGAAGCACCTGCTCACAGATCCTGCAGGAGTCGTCCCTGTGTCTGGCCATGCATGGTCCTTGCTGGTCAAAGCTTGACAAGGCTGCCAGCCCAGACCCAGGCTCCAAGTCACTCAGTATGCCTTTTCCTCCCCACTTTGTTGGCTTTTTCCCGAGAGCCATTCTGCTTCTTCCTCAGTGTAACCTGGAGAGTTAGAGGAATGAGCAACCTAATCCCACCTTATGCTGCAGAGAGGCCCAGTTTAAGAAAACACATTTCTGGTTTCAGGCCAGAGAGAGGTGACATGAGTCTGAGCATGCAGCTATGAGGTAGCCGCTCTGCCTTGTAGTGGGGTGGGGGACGGGCACTGCCTCCCACTAGTTTCCTGGGGGAAAGCATTATCGCTCCACACCCTCGGAGCGCTCAGATCCATTGGTATGGCAGCTGTGGATGGTTTTCAAACCTGTGCCTCATCTGGGACTACAGAGGTGCTATGCAGAGACCAGTCGGTCACTCCAGTGCAGAGCAAGTGGAGGTAGGAGCTGAAAGCCGTGGCCAGGGAGCGTTTGCCTGGACTCCAAGTAGCCACATCTCTTTCTGTTTTCCTCTTCTTTTTTGGCTTTCTTGGCTTCTTTTTGAAGGATGAGGATTCCATGTGGTTGGGCAAAGACTCAGGAAGCCTAGACTCGCCGCTCCGGGGCAGCTCTACCACACACAGTGTGACTGCACCTTGCTCCTCACGCTTCCACATTTATCCTAATTTCAGTTTCTTCTCATCCTCAGAGTCATTTTCTTTCCAACTTCTTTTCTCCATTACTTCCTCCATGTCATCACCATATCTCAAGCTGCCTGACTGGTCATCCTTCTTTGACTTTGGAGAATCTTTTTTGAGACAGAGTCTCACTGGGTCTCTGTCACCCTGGGTAGAACACAGTGGCATAATAGCTCACAGCAATCTTAAACTCTTAGGCTCAAGCGACCTTCCAGCCTCAGCCTTCCAAGTAGTTGGGACTATAGGTGCCCACCACCACACTCAGCTGTTTTTACTTTTAGTAGAGATGAGGTTTCTCTCTTGCTCAGGTTGGTCTTGAACTCCTGACCTCAAGCAATTCACCAGCATCGACCTCCCAGAGTGCTGGGATTGCAGCTGTGAGCCACCGCACCTGGCTGGCTTTGGACACTCTGACAGGCCTTGCTAATTTCCCCTAGTTGGGGCCACTGTGATGGATTCTGTTTGTTACCATGCATCATCTCTCTATTTTGAAACTCTTCTCAAAATATTTTTCATTGTTTTATAACTGTAGGATTTAAGGCAAGTGTTTTAAATCTCTCCTGAAACTTTATCCTAACCCTCAGCTCCACTACACACTGTCAGGGATAAATTTTTCTGTTTTGGGGTAATGTTTACTCTATACTCAGTACCAAAAGCATCTCCAAATCAGCTGATTCAAACAATGCGGTTTGTCAAGAACCTGGTTGTATGATGAAGGGGACTTTCAGTCTATGAACACATTTCTCAAAGCAGTGGAGTATTTTCTTTGGAATGGAATTTTTATTTCCTTAGTTGGCACTTTAAACTACTTTCCATTTTATTCCATTTATTTATTTTTGCCCTCAGATTACAGCATCTGCAGAAATTGCAGCGCATGCTGCCAAGCCTGCCCCAGTGGCTGGCTCTGAAGAGATTGCTTCAGCTTGATGGAGCTCTCCGGAATTCAATAACCCAGAATTTACGTTTTGTCCAAGGTAAACTAGCTCTGGAATTATCTGTCACTGACTCACTAGGAGCAAATGTAAAATTTATTGGAAAATGGACCTGAACCTGCCTGACGACACAGTAAAGTTTGGAGATAAGTTTCCTGGCCTTGTAGACACGTTTATGCTTTGCTGTGATGCCTTGTAGGCATTTTAGATACAGCACACCAGGGCTGAATTAGTCCTGTCGCTGTGGAGAAGACATTCTTCTGTTTGCCAGAGCTCACAGTGTGGTGGCAGGCAGTTTGTTAGGACTGGGGTTTGACTTTTGCCTTCACGCCAGCATCTGTGGTCCTCAGGCGATGACCAGCGGGCTTTGTGAATCTTTCATTCTCTGTTTTCCTCCCGTCTGCTTCTTGGAGTCTGGCAGGGAGAATATGTTCCTGCCAGGTTTGCTGAATGCTCCTCTTTGAGCCTCATTGACTGTGGTGGGCATTAGTCCCGCTGTCCTCTTCTGAGGAAGTCAGGTTTGCACTTTTGCCCAGGTGGGTTAGAGCCTTTTCATCTTCTCAGGGAGGAGAACGAAGAAATGAGCAGGGATGTTACTTTAGTACCGAGACTCTCCTTCAACCAATGACGCTTACGTGCGAATGTTCAGAAAGGAGAAAATGGTATTCCAATAACATCTTCTATTTTCTTCTCTAAGGAAGGTGATAATATGTATGATAACAGGTCAAGTTTACTAAAATGCAGGGTTTTAGAATTCAGTTTATTAATTCATGGCCCAGTGGAGAACTCAGGCTTGGAGTAGCCTACCTTACGTGAATAATAAATCATCTGTCTATTTTGTAGAAATCTTCATTCTCCTGGAGACGTCAGCTAATGATTTTAAATGGATTGGACTTGACCGATTGAAACTGAAAAAGGATGTGTTCTTTTGGGAGTTGAAGCAGGTAAAGCATAGCAAAGGATTATAAATAAACAATTTTTATAAAACATTCAGGAAGCTTATGCAATATTCAGTTTTGCTTTTGTGAAGTGTGCTAGCAAAATAAAGAGAATAGTACGCATATTTCTGAAGAACTTTATGAAGTGTTTTAATATTTTTATTATTGCTTATTTCTATTTGTAGTTCTTGAGCCCATAGAGCGGATATCTAAGTCTCTCTATTTATTTATTCATTTTTATTAAATCACCCCTCCTCACCCTCATTAATCTTTTAGATGTTGGTGAAGAATGCTACTCCTGTCTGCCCAGATGAGCGCTCGTCTGAGGAGGAGGCCCTCCCACCCTCTGCAAACTCCAGCATCTGGGGTGGCCTCCTGGGACTGTTATGCCATCATAATTCCTCCAACGAGACTGGTGTTTTAAACAAACTACTTGGTTCAGTAGAGGATGCTGTAAGTATTCTACTTTCTGAGCTCTTCCAAGACATTTTTGATATGAAATTCACTGAAGATGGCAAAGTTTAACCTGGAATTTTGATGGGGCAAGTGTTGCTATCAGCCCACACACATTAAGGGAACTGTCTGACTGGATCCCAGCTGCCTTTCTTTGTCTGACGGCTCGGGAAGTAATGCGCCTGGGCCAAATCTACTTGATGTTCCCCAGGAGCACCCCAGCCTTTCAAACCAGGCCACTTCTGCCTCTCTGGTTTTCTAGAGTCTTGGCTTCCTTCATTTTTGGCTATATACACCAAGAAAAGTAGAGAGATGTTTGGGTTCATCAATCAAAAGTGGTCGTAGGCTTTAAAAAATCACAGACTTCAAATGTCACTGCCCAGAGCAGGGGGCTACCCTTGCTAAGTGCTCAGGTGGGACTGCAGAGTGCTCTGCAACTTGTTTGGCAAGATTATTATGTCAAGTTCATTCCCGTTTGTTCTTATTGAGCATTAAACATTATGTAATAATATCTATATTTTTGCCATTCATTTTCCATCTCAGAATTATCTGTTTGCTTATTTATTAGGTATTTTTCAATTTTATTCATCAACATGTTAACAAATATAATTGAACAATTCATACCCAAATCAAATAAGTTGCAGGAGTGAATAAACAAAAATCAACTGAGTATTTAATGTGTGTGTGGGGAGGGATTTAATGAACCTTATTTCCTACAACTCTTGTGGACGGGATTGTTCTAATGTCTCTGCTAATCATTTTTCACTAGGTCAATGAAAGACAGCAAAGGGCAACAGCAGTGGGGGGCAGACACATAATACCCCAGCATGGAAAGCAGCAACTTGTTTAATGGAACTGGCTTTCACTAGTTTCTCTTTTTTAGCTTGAATAAGTCATTTAACCTTCCTGGGATTTCATTTTAAAGTTTGTGATGGTGGTGGTGGTAGGTGGGGGAGTTGGAGGTATCGAGTGATATCTCAGTTCTATTAATGTTTTCTTTGAATTATCTTGATCTGTTTTATTTTATTTTTTATCTTCTTCCTTATTAAACAAAACCAGTGAAATAATGACACTAGCCAAATGATAGAAGAGTAAAACAAAAATTGAGATAGTGGTCGGGGTCGTGTACATAGTTCAATCCAATCAATGCTTTCTTCGCACCTGCTCTGTGTGTGATGGTTTGACCAAGGGAGGACAGATGTGAAGGAGACAATAGGTTGGCTGAGAAGGGCAGATGCCCTAAATGCCCAGCATCTGGGAGTCTTCCCACATAAGTCAATGGGCTTTAAATGAGGTCTGAGGTTTGACAGCAAAAAGAAGTCAGGAGCAGGTACTGGGCAGACAGAAAAGTGTATGTGAAGAAATGGAGGCATCAAAAACCAAAACCACTATCTGTTTGCACATAGCTTTGCTGCTAGTGGGGATAAGCTCTTCCCTGGCAGAAAGCTCATCCCACATTCTTTCCTATCTATATATAAAGCCCAACTCAGCTCCACACAGAGCAAGGACTCAGCAGGATCTGCTCCTGGTGATGAGACTCTATAGGTTGCGAGCATATTCTGATGATGCTTAGATTATTGGCAACAAACTGCTCAAAGCTCAGTGGCTTTAAGCAAAGCACTGGCTTCAGCCAGATGGGTCCTCCATTGGTCTTTTATAGTTTCAGTTAGATGGCAGTGGGGGCTGGAGTGTGGATGTTCCGCTGGGACACTGGGAGGAAGTGCTTCTGTTCTCTGGGTCGGTTCTTTTTGTGTAGCCTCTTCATATGGTCTCTCAGCAGGGTACACAGACTTCTTCCATAGCCATCCAAAAAGTAGGTAGGAAGGGAGGAAGAGTAGGAGCTGCTTGTCTTCAGAAAAGGTAGAACTTGCATGTGGACAGTTATGATTTAATAAAAATTAAATTAAAAACAAAAACAAAACAAACAAAAAAAAAAACAAAAAAAGAAAAGGTATAACTGAAACTAGCCCAAGTCCCTTCTGCATTCTGTGGGTTCCTGTGCGTCAGCTTGGAGGAACTTTGGAAGGAGCTTACCAAGAGTGAGACTACTAGGGGATCTGGTTCGTTTGGGCCACTTGGGGAGACCAAGTAAAGCAGATAGCTATGATGCTTGGGTCTCATCCTACTTTAGTTTTGGATAGGCTTTTTATCTGGGAGCCTGTTGACTAGAACATGAGTAAAGATTCACCTACAGCTTGGGTGGTCATCACCCCCCAGGGCATGGTGGACGCAGCTCAAGTGTACACCTTACTAAGTGAAACTAGGTATGCACATTTGAATTCCTTTATTTATTACAAGCAACATATTGTTTCCTTTTTAAGGATCATATTTTACAAGAGGTCATTACTGGGCTCACAAATAAGCCAGTTTTAATCCCTGAAGGATATTTGGACTGGCAGGAACTTGAGACACAGCTGTCAGGGACAGTCCTCTCCTGCACTCGGCTTTTCCAGCTGCTGGGAGCTGACACCTCAGCTGAGAATGACATCTTTTCTACTGGCTGTAAGCATCAGCTTCTGTCCACAGTGTAAGTGCATGTTTGATGGAAACTTCTGAGCAAACTAGAGGTCAGAATGTTTTCAACTACCCCTATCTACACTCAAATGATAGATCAACATGGTACATTATATTTCTAATGAGTAGAATAGAAATATATTTAATCTATTTATGATAATATTGGAAGGCATCTATAAAATATTCAATAGTTCTTTTAAAGTTTAACTGTTGGCTTAATCTTTCACAAGCTATGTAGGAGCCCTGATCAGTCCAAGGTATGCATGAGATTGAGGTTCTCATTTATTACATTCCTCGGGGTTCTCACATTAAATACCAGTGGGAGGTTTGTCTTGGGAGCTATAATTCTCTAGAAAATTTGCTTTGTTTTTACTTTTTGACTTTGTGAATTATATGTGAGATCAATTTCCATTTTCCTTGGCTGCTAGGAAATTTCTAATCAAACATGTCCAACAGGGAACGTATTTCTCTTAACCTCAAAGTTCACTTCATATTATGGACTTTAATGTTCACCTTTCTTTTTTGTTGATTTATTCTGTCTTATATTTTATGCATTTCCATAAATTGCTTTCATTTATTTTTCAAATCACAGTGGAGGAGTTTGTAAATAAGTAAATATTGAGAGCTATTTCAAACATTCTATTCCTTCCCTAAATGGGCTTCTGAATATTTGCATAGATTTATGTTTAGATATATTTATAATGATTTATCATCTGGAAAATCATTTTTAAATTTTAGCTTTCTCTGTATTTTTCACTGAAGGATATTTCATATACTTGAAAAAGCACAATTTTCCCTGGAACAAACATATTACTGGAAAGCCTTCACAGCGTTCATCAGGAAGACTTGTGAAGGGGCTTGGTATGTGAATGTGCAAGAGAGTTTCCCGAATAGTCTGTCTGGTAAGTCCGTCATCTTCACCACAGACTTGTGGGTCTTTTTCTCCATTTAGCGAGGTAATATGGCTTCTTAGAAGACTATCCTATTCAATAAAGGGAAGCTTAAAACGGGGGGGGGGGTTGCTAAGTATAATATACTGTTGTGATTACCGCATGTAATTATTTCCTCATTAATTATGACAAGACTTACCAGAAGTCCTGGTTCAACTGAGCCATGTTGTTCCTGTACAGTTTCTAATAGTGACTCCTTTTACTCTCAGAATGGTCCTGGTTTGGGTGATAAACTCTTGCATATGTGGGCAAATCACAGCCCTTCTCAGGAGAGCCTAGATTTACTGTGTGTCTGTCTCACTTTACTAGTGTGGAGCTGGCCCTTCACACTGGGGACAACGCCCTGTGCCGAGTTGCCTTCCATCTAGTCTATACTCACACTCAATTCTCTCAACACTTCTGTGATAAAATGTGTTTGTGTGTGTTTTTCTACATCAAGCAATTCTCCAGTTCTCCGTCGCCACCAACTAGATGTCCTACAATTTATTTAAATTCTGAGACTATCTACCCAGAGTTAGTGTCAGACCCTGCAGGTTAAGGGCTCAGTTCCACAGGACTGCGCTCACTCCAGATGCCCTCCCCACCCCCTGAGTCCAGGCTTCCCTTCAGACTTCTGACCAACCATATTTAAATCTGGATTCCTGTGACCCCTCATGTGTTCAATAATTTGCTAGTATTGCTCACACAATTCAGAAAAACAGTTTGCTTGCTCAGTTAGTGTTTATTATAAGGGAAAAACTCAGGAATAGCCAGGTGGAAGAGGGGGATAGGGCAAGGTATGGAAGGCTGTGTTGGTGAGGAGGGCGGGGAGCTTCCATGCCCTCCCTGGGCCCACCACCTCCCAGCACCTCCCCAAGTCCACCATCCTTACCACTCTCTGAGCTCCATCCTTTGGGTTTTATGGAGGCTTCTTTATGTGCCATGATTGATTAACTCAGTAGCCATTAGTGCCTGACTCAACCTCCAGCCTTGCTGTCCTTCCTGGAGAATGGGGGAAAGGTGAGGGGATGAGGGAGGGCCCCAAGTTCCAACCCTCTAATTGCAGGATTGGTCCCCCTCACAGCCAGCTCCCATTCTGAGGCTGTCCAGCAGCCTGGGATGTCTCATTAGCATATAGGAAGACACTTCTCAATTCCAATATTGCAACTATTTAGGTCAGGAGCTGTGTGCAGAGACCAAACATGTATATTTCTCATTATGTGTCACTTCCTCCTTTACTTGCCAGCCCCATAAAAACAAAAATCCCCTAAACTGTAAATGTTATAATCTCACAATTGCATGATTCACAAAGGTCCTCCTTTCCCTCAAAGATACTCTTCTTGGAAAAAATGCCACGCTGGATTTCTGACTCTCTTCCTCCTGCTCTAGAGCTGGTTGTCTGTTCCCATCTCCCCCAGGGAGTCATGGTCCCCCCATTTTTCTGGTGTGTCATGACACTGCTCCATCCCAGTGTGGTTATCAGCTTCTCCCCAGAACACCTGCATCTTAGACCTGGGAATCGTGGGGTTGGGAATGGGAGTTTCTCGTTCCTCTTCTGTGACTGCTTATTTGCTCCTCCTTAAACTGCTACTTCTGGAGGCTGCCACAGATTCTCCCTCTGTGAGTCTCCGTAAGACCTGAGGACCCCATGGTGGTCTTTGCATTTGCTGTAGGTTACACTGTAAAGCTCTGTCTCCATGGAGTGGTGCTGGGCGCGTGGTCACTTCTCCAGTGAGCTGGCCATGTCCTCCGGGGTTAAATACTCGCCCTACACTTCAGCTTCCTCCTTTTCTTCCTTGTCCTCATTTTTATCGTATACTCTCAGCCACTTCTGACTATTTTCAAGAAACCCAGGCTACAAAGAGTGACTTTCAAGAACAGCAAGGAGCCTGGATGTTCAGAAGTCTTGAAAATACGGATAACTGCAAATATTTACTGTTTTTTTTGTAATAATCTCACTCAGTCTTCATATTACCCTGTGATGTAGGTACCGTTACAATTTCATTTTCAGATGAGAGGTTCAAAAAGATTTTACTCCTGGCTTAGGTCACAAAAGTACTAAATGTTAGAGTCAAGAACACAGATCCAGGGAGCCTCCCTCTGAATCCTGTAAGCTCCCTGCTCCAGTTCCCTTTGGAAAGGTTCCTGTGAAAGGACTTTCTCTATCACAGAAGTATAACTAATCTTATTAAAGAACAGAGGCTTTTAAAAATCCTCTCTGTGGTATATAGATTTACTGTTTTACTAATTTATCCTTTTATCTCTGTTATTTTTTCTTCTGCTAAATTTAGTTTGACTGCTGTTCTCTTTCTAGCTTTGTGACTTTCTTGCTTTCTTATTTTCTAATATATGCTTTTCAGACTATACATTTTCCATTATGAAAAGCTCTAGATATGTTCTATATGTTTTGATATGTCATATATAGTTTTATTGTCAATCAGCGACTTAAAATTAAAATTTTTCACTAAAATGGTGAATTTGTCCATTTTTTTAGTTTTATTGGTTTTGCTGTATATAATTTATATTGTTATATTATTAGGTGCAAAAAATTCACAATTGATGTATGTTCTTATTGGATGGACTATTTTGTAATTAAGAAATAATGCTCAATCTCTCACATTGTTTTTGCCTTAAAAATCAACATCATCTAATCTTAGTGTTATTTTCAGCTAGAGTATGAATATATAGCTGGGACAGCATTTTAATTGAATTTATTTTTAAGTATTTTTTTCTCTTTTTGGTGGTATTGAAAATGGAATTGTTTTCTTGATTTCTTTTTCTGTTTGTTGTTGGCATATCTTAGAAATGCAAGTGATTTTTCCTAATGATCTTGTATTTTTCAACCTTAGTGGATCAGTTTATTAGGTCTAATATTTTTTGGTGTGGACTATTTTGGGTTTTCTACATAAGTTATGTTTTCTGTGAACAGAGATAATTTTACTTCTTTTCATTTCCTTTTTCATGTATTTAGATTTAAAGCTCTTTTTATACTCTAGGTAGGAATTATGAAGATATAAACAAAATTTATACTAATACAGATTTCAAAAATATTTGTCCATGTATTTATCTTTGCTGGAGAGCTTTATTTAGTTGTAGGGCTTTTCATTACCGTCTAACATCCTTTCTTATTGACTTGAAGGACTTTCTTCAGCATTTTTTACAGGGCAAGTGGTAATAAACACCCTCAATTTTATTTATATATAAAAGTTAATTTTCCTCTATTTTTAAAGAACAATTTTATTGAATGTATTCATAGCTAACTGATTTTTTTCTTTCATTACTTTAAATATTTCATCTTCTGCCTTCTGGACTGTCAGGTTTCTGCTGAGAAATCAGCTAGTAATCTTACAGACTCTTCCCTGTATGTGGAAGAGTTTTTTTTTTTTTTTGGCAGGGGTCAGAGGGGAACAAAGTCTTGCTCTATAGCTCTGGATTGTGTGCTGTGGTATCGTCCCTCACGGCACCCTCAAACTCTCAGGCTCAAGTGATCCTCTGGCCTCAGCCTCCTGAATAATTGAGACTACAGGCACTTGCCACAATGCCTCGCTGGTTTTTATATTTTTAGTAGAGATAGGGTTTGACTCTTCCTCAGGCTAGTTTTGAACTACTGAGCTTAAGGGATCCACCTGCCTTGGCCTCCTAGAGTCCTAGGATTACAACTGTGGGCCATCGTGTCTGAGGAGACTTGGCTGGATTTTAATCATGTTTCTGTGTTCATAACTGGTCACTTCTGGTGTGTAAGGGCCTGTGGACCCCTTGGGGCTCTAACACCCCATGGTGACTGATGTCACTTCCAGGGGTTTCCGATCTGGCATCCAAACCACGCCATGGTTCTCATCAGTGCTGTCAGGCAGGCGAGAGAGCCCCTGAAGAGCCAGAACATTGCCAGTAAGTTCTAGTTTTTGTTTTTTTGTTCTGAGGAAAAAACTTGGATTTGGGAGCTCCCTTCCTAACAGGGTCATTTTGTGCTGTGGAGGAGATGAGGGGACACTTAGCAAAATGTGGTCTCACCAGCAGCTGTCAGAGTTCCTTTCTCTCCACTCTTACACCAGCTTCTGTTGTTCTGGGGCTTTTTGATAAAAGTCATTCTCACTGGAGTTAGGAGATATCCAGTTAGATATCCAGTTAGATATCTCCTAGGTAGATAGGTAGATAACTCCTAACCATTGTGGTTTTGATTTGCATTTCCCTGATGATTAGAGACTTTGGTTCAAATAAAAAATTAAATTTTAAAAACAAAAATGTTTTTCACCTTAAAAAGCTAATTATGACTTCTGGAACGCTCACAGTTGGCTAATTCTAAAAGGTCAAATATAAGACAAACTGTAAAACAGTCCTTTCTCCTACTCCAGTTCTTATACGAGGCCATCTCATTCATCTCAGTGCTTTTACTTTCATTTTTTATTGTTTGGGATTCACTAAGGGTTCAAAGAATTAGGCTACAGTTACTGCATCTGTTAGGTCAAGTCCCTCTTATAGTTGTATCCTGCCCCCTAGAGGTGTGCCATATACCATGACCCCCCATCATCTCAGCATTTGTGCCTTTTTATGTCCAAGTAACATCTCTGTTCTGCTAATGAAATAGTCCTAATTTCTACATATTAGCTTTTATTTGTTGGGTCTCCACTGTGGAAAGTCAGGACCACTTCTCTTGCATGTCCTTCTTTTCCTTACACATCTCCCTTCCCTGTGCCTCCGCACGATTTTATCGCATTCTTGTTAATCTGACGCTGTGCATTTAGAGCACTGTGTCTACATTACAGTGTTCATTTCTGAATCATATGGTGAACTAAGAGTATGTAATTTTTCCTTGTATGCTGATCTGTTTTTTCTGAATTAAAAATAGTCTTACGGTTTTCATCTGATAGTTTTCTATGCATTGATCACCATTTAACTGAAACTCTCAAAACCTGTGAATATGGTCAAAAATATTAACTGATTGATAAATATCTTCTTTTATTTTTCTTGCTGGC